TTTGGAATTATTAGTTTCATTTGGACAATTTTTTGGTATTTTTATGGGAAAAGTGATCCTAGAGATTATTCAGGAATCAGTAAAGAAGAATTAGATTGGATTTTTGAAAATAAATCAATAGTTGATTCTGAAGAAAATTTTGGTCATTATCAATCAGGATCTGGTGAACATATTGCGATTTCTGATGATCATAACATTCCTGAAGACGAAAATGATATATTATTACCAAAAAGTCAAATATCATCAAAGCCACGTTATATACAGAAAATTCCTTGGAAATTAATATTTTCTCGTCGTGAAGTGTGGGCAATTATGATCAGTCACTTTTTTTATTCTTGGGGCTATTTTATTCTAATTAGTTGGCTACCAACATTTTATAATGAATATCTTCACGTAGACATTAATCTCATTGGATATTACACAGGTAAGAAATTTTAATATCATACTATTCTACATTTATTTTATATTGATTTTATATTTATTTTATATTTATAAAATTTTACAAATTTCAAAAAAATTTTAGCTTTACCTTACTTTTCGTACATCGTGATTGGATCTATAGTCGGCTATATCTGTGATTATGCGATTCATCAATTAAAAATTCGTGTTTTAACTGTACGAAGGTCCACTAATATTATCGGAACTCTTGGAATATCAACATCTCTTTTACTTGTAAGATTTGATTTATTGTTACGGCTGATAGTGATATTTATTTTTTTTTGTTGACTAATATATAATTTACAGGTAACATATTTTGCAAAAACTTCACTTGAGGGATTATTTATAATAACGATAGGATTTGCATTATATTCATTCAAAATCTCGAGTATAAATGTATCTCAGGTAATTAATGAATTCATTCATTCATTCATAAATTAATTGGTTATTTATTCATTAATTTAATATAAAACTAAGCTCTTGTCAATTGTAGATGGATATCGCGCCAAAATATGCTGGTGTAATTTATGCCTTAGGAAATACTTGTGGAATGGCTCCAGCTTTTTTTGGTGTAGCATTAACAGGTTGGATTTTAGATGTTACGAATAATAATTGGAGTATTATTTGGATTATATGTTCTTTATTTTATATTATTGGATCAATATTTTTTGTTAGCTGGGCTGGTGGCGAAATAATAATTGATTAAAGTTGGTCGGGAATATGTATTTATCTATATACATGTGTAGTGTTAAGAAAAATTTTAGAAAAATTTTCATTGGTTTATATTTTCTTTAGTATTAAAATATGTAATATGTCATAATTGCTGCGAAAGATATAGTAGTTAGTATACGGGTTCGAAACTCAAGGTCTGGGTTTCAGCCCTTGGAACGAGTTTAGAACCTGGTTGAGGTTCGAAACCCTGGATCAAGGTTTGAAGAAAGATGCTGATTAAATTATTTAATTTCATCAGGTGAAATGGTGAAATAAATTTCACCAAAATTACACCAAAATAAAAAAAGTTTGTGAAATGGTGAATTGATGAAATTGATGAAATTAATGAATTGATGAAATTGGTAAAGTTGATGAATTGGTAAAAAAGTAGAATCAGCGAGATAGTACAACTATAAAGTTGGCAATAGTATATGTTTTTATTGTGTATTAATTAGGGATGTCAACGGTTCGGTCATGACTAGTCATGACCGTGACCGATACCAGTTCGGTCACAAATCCTGACCGACCGAACCGACCGTTTGACCGATACTATATTTGTTATTTCTGTATTTATCATTGTAACGATCTGTAAAATAATAATCATGATACAAAAATAGGTTTGATTATAAGTATTGTGCCGAAATTATTGTTATATACAAGTTTAACCAATTAGTTAAATTGAGGAGCCTGTCAACGAAGTGACAGGGCGACCATTATTGTGAGGTCAAATGACCTATGATCTTCACATGTCGAATTTTGGTTGGCCGATTGTAGGATCTTAGCTGTTGCCTGATAGTTCTTGTTAGATGCAGGTTTTTTTATGATAATTTTATGATCTCATATGCCTAAGGAAGACAGTATTAGTATGATAATTATGGAATGTTAAAGGAGTTCAGGAGTAAATCATATGGTTATAGGCGTGAAATCAGAAGGAAGGAAAATTGGTGACTTTCTATCAGTGAGGGATATTTAAGGCCGTAGTTGTTGTCATAGGAGGTTATCTTTCTCTTCGCCTCGTAGAAAGGCTGGATCTATCGTTCCCTCCCATTTCCCGCCCCTTTTTGGAAATGGTGATGTCATAGCATGTAGTAGGCATTTATAGGCTCCGCTGCTGCAATGGCAGTGCAAGGACCACCAAGAATGTATTCGGGCTCCGCTGCTGTGGTAACAGTGCAAGGACCCTATAAATCGTATGGAGGCTCTGAAGCTGCAGTTGCAGTGCAAGGGCCTTTGCAGTATAATCTGGCTCCACGGCTGCAGGTGCAGTGCAAGGACCACTAAGAGAGAGTTGAACTTTAGAAGCAGCGACCCCTTTTCAAGATAAGTATATAACCGATTCTCTTTTATAGCTATACTGTCTTTTACCAAGCCTTCCTCACACAAGATTTAGCGTTTGTGAGATAGGATTTACGAATTGTTTCTCTGATGTTTTGTTAGGGCTATCAGTGCAAGGTTCGGGATACCTTTGTGATGGATTAAGATTGTTTAGTTGGAATAGTAATGTATTATAGAAGGGTATAATCTTGAACTAGAGCCTGTAAACATAGCGAACAGATTCCCATATGTTTTTCAATAAAGTCATTTGATCGAACAATAATAAATTCATATATCGTATATCGATTATATTTGGAAATAATGATTGATAACAATTTTATCATATTTATATTTATTATATTTATATTTTTTTTTCAATCTCTATTATTGAATTAAATTTATTCTATAAAAAATATTACATTATTAACTTTATATTATATTATTACAGATTATATAATTTAAATATAAATTTATTCTATATTAGCTTATTAGCTCTAAATCAAAAAAGCTTTATCGTATTCTATCGTAAATAAGCAACATCCCCTTTACCTCATGTTTTAAAATATCAGATAGTTAACAAAGTTGTTTCCATTAATCTGACATTTAATAAAAATAGGTAGAGGGAACAGTGCTTATTACGGTAACTTAACTAATATTGATTAAATAATCTGGATATTAAAAATTTAAATTACCCATCGGCCATGACCGCGGTCGGTTCGGTCATGACTCATGACTGATGATGCCCGACCGAAACCGACCATAACCAACTGTTGGTATCCCTAGTATTAATTATTATTTACATCAGAAATGCTATTTTATGTCTTTTTCAATAATCATACTATTGAGAGATCTGAAAATGTGACCAATACACATGATGTGAATCCTGACTGTCAGAAATGTCAGGTATGTCTAGGAATGCGAGTATAATACCAGTATTATACACATGGGTATAGGTATAATACCAATATTAGAAACTGATTAGCCAATTAAATTGCTTCATTTGAAATTCCAAAAATTTCCTTTAGAATAATTTCTGAATCATATTAAGCTGAGAGCATAGTAGTGGTTATACTATGCTATACAGTATTATACAGTATTAATACATGGCATTATACTATTATTTTTATTATACTGATATGTCAGATATATCAAATTTATCCGATATATCTGCTATATCACATAAGTGTGATATATTAAATGGATGCAATATATGCAATAAATTAGACAAATTCAATATATTAAACATATTCAATATATTAGATAAATTTATGATGTAAATAGACAAGAATGTTTATTATAAATAAAGAGCAATTCATTTAGGCAAAAGGCTAGTGATTACAATTGCAAACATAAACTACCTACCAATTTATAATTCAAGTGAAATTATTATTTTATAAGAATTACTAACTATTATAAATCTAATTATTAACAATGCTTGTTCGCCTTAAGAATAAACTAAACTTGTAATTAATTATTTACCATAGTCATGTGTTCATCATGCCTAAAACAAAAGAGAAAAAGAGCTCAAACCTAAATTTAATATAGTAAAATTTAAGTTGAAACAATAAAGAAGATAAGAATTAGAATAAGAGTAAGTTGAAGAAAAGACTCATAGAAGAGATAACACTATAAAATATAGAAAAGCCTACATAAAAGATTCCTAAATTATATTATCAGAATAGTTTTTTTTAGTTGTTATATTATAAATTATATATATATTTATTAATCATTATTATTATTTACTATTTTATAATTTTACTATCTTACCAATTTTACTATATTACTATCTTATTATTGATTAGAGAGTTGTTTAAAACAGAAGTAAATCATATGATTAACAGCAATTAAATAATAGAATTTTAATGATTTCTAGTAAGCAAAACAAAAAATAAAAAAATATCAGTCTAATCTTACCTTGAGTAGGTTAATTAAAAATATCATAAAGGCAATTTGCATATATATAACTATTTAAAAATTAAAGTAACTTTAATACAATTTTAAAATTAATTAAAAACTTTATTAAATATAGATTTTTTCTGATTAGAGTACATTTACTATAATATAATTAATTTTTGTTATGTATTTTATGCACAAACTAATTATATAAACAATTATTTTACTTATTTATTTTTATTCTCTATATAACAGTTTCTCAAAATATACATAAGTTATCTATTTGAGCTTACTTGTAGTAATAATTTTGCACACATTTCTAATCAATAATTATACAACATAGTAGATACTAGAAAAATGAAAACTGTTATAAGTCTAAAATAAAATTATATAAGATTTTTGTATTATATAAATATATAAGTAAGGCAACCTAAAAATTCAAAGTTACCTTTTTAATATTCTTGTTATAAATAAATTAGAAATGATACTTTAAAAGCATTAAAAACATAACTTTTGTATTACTTTGTATAGTAATTAAGCATTATATATATTAGCAAATTATACAATAGTTATTCTTAGCATATTAAAATCTAAAGTGTATAACATTTGTCTATCAAAAAAAAAACTAATTAGAAAGCAAGATCAGGTATAATGTAATAGTCAAAACAATAATAATTTTTTTTTGAAAATCATATTTATATCAAGAAAATTTTAAAAATAATATATCATTAATAATTCTTAGATTACTAATAATATATAATATATCTGTTACTAATAATATATAGTATATCTGTTAAGTATTATTATTATTTTTTTTAAATATTAAGGTAAGTACTTGTAACCTAGGATTTTATTGATAGTATATTTGGCTAATGATTGCTTTACAACCACAAAGGGCAACCATGAAGAGAGTGTACAACTAGCCACTTGTACAACTTTAGTAATTATCTAATTTAAGTAGTTCACCTGAAGGTTCTACACTAGTTGCCATACCTGGAACCCACTTGTAAATTCTCTATTTAACCACTCTGTTTCCATATCCACTCATCTACCTCTGCCTACCAATGACTCCAGCCAATGTCAGTGAAAATATGCCATAGCCACTAAGTCTTTAAAGCAGTTCTTTGGAACTTTTGACCTTGTACTAAACCTTCCAGAATCTTCTGTATCCCATTC